GGAGGTGGAGGGGGGTGGAGGGCGGTGGGCCGGTGCATACTCTGTTCGAGTCCTGCGCGTTCGGCCAAGCCGTGTAGCGTCTTTGCTGAACTCTCAGGAGGTTTAGATGGCCATCAATGACTTCATGTGAATTTTGCAGCATGACGCAGCACCCCACCTTCCTCAAAAAGAGAAGCCAACGCAAAGGCAGCCTGCGGACTGCAACTATATCCACATACCTGGGAGTTAAGCAGCTACTGCTGCAGTTTGTCCTGCCCGTATCTGCAATCCAGGTGCCCGCCAAAGTAACAACCCATCTCTCACTCAACCCAACTACTACCACAGTGGCAATGAAAGCAGCTGGTGCACTGCCGACAAAACAGTGACGAATGTAGGAACCAGAAACGCCAGTGGTCACTGCAGAAGAAGGGTAAGCAGCGGGAAAGAGGCTCTCAACAGGTGAGGCAGCTCAGCGGAGCTCCAGTAGACAGGCAACTCGTCCATAACCCCATTACCAAGCATCACCACCCAAAACAACTAGACATCAATAAAAACGTAACATCCAAAAAAACCCAAATTACTCGACAAGAGTCATCTATGACCCCCCCACAGCCCCCGCCCCCAGCCTATGGACAGTGTCGTAAGAGTGGGGGCGCTCCCTAGGTGACATAATGATGGAGCAGCGGGTATAGGTTAAAATCTAGAGGGGTACGGGACAGCCAGTGCTTGGCCCGACCTTGGTACTGCTGCGGCTGTTGCTTCACCTGCGGGTTTTGCTGCTTCACTTCCTGCGTGTTGTGTTGCTGCTGAGGAGTACGCTGCCCATCATCAGCAACGCGGAGGAGCAGTCTGTAAAAATAAAAGGTCGACTGTGAGGCTGGCATATCCAGCGCGTGCTGCTGCTGCTGCAGGGGACGCTCAGGCAAACTGGCAACAGTGGGCTTGCCACTCTGTACCTCTGCTGGTGCAGCAAAAGCTGCTGCTGTTGCCCTCATCCGTTGCAGTAACCAGGAAACGGCGTCTGCTTCAAGAACGCTCGCTGCTGCTGAAGGCGTGCACCTTCCCCCACTTCTATCCTCTGCAAAAGCAGCAGCAACAGCAATAAAGGACGCTGGTAGCAGTAATGCATGCGGGTGATTTTGTGCTGCCTTGTAGCTGTGGAACGCTTCCTCCAAATCCAGGTATACCCTCAGAGGCAGAGGGCCTGCAATAGAGTTATGCTTGCTGCTTTTGCTGGGTTGTGCGGCCTCTAGCAGCAGCAACTGCCAAGCTGTCTCAAGGGCACGTCGGGCCCCTGCCACCCAGTCCTGTTGTAGATCTTGCGCATTTGAAGCAGCTGGCCTCCTGCCAAGACGTGTTGCTGCTGTTGCTGCCTGAAAACCTGTGGCTCCTGAAGGAACAGCCTTCCGTTCTGGTGCCGCAGAGGCTCCTGTTGCTGTTGCTCCAGCTGTCTGCGCTGTTGCCATTGCTGCTGCATGCAGTAACCGCCACTCGGCTGCTCGTAAAAGAGCGGAAAGATGGTCAAGTTCAAGCCAGCCCCACGCTGTTTGTGCAGCAACAGCAGCAGCAGCAGCAGGGTGAGGATCGTATTGCTGTTGCTTATACTCCCACCCGTGCAGTTGTTGCTGGTGCGCCGCTAGCCTTGAAAGCAGATCAAACACGCCATCCATACACTGCAGAAGCCTGGAAGACTCAGACAAAAACGAACCCGCCAGGCCGCTGCTAGCCGTTCCCGGTAATGCTGCTGCCTGCGCTGGTGCTCCATGCATCCCATCAGCTCCTGCATGGCCCTGTAGCTGCTGTCTCAGTACACTTGCAAATAGAGACAAATCTGCAACAATTGTTGGTTCTCCAGCAGCAAGAGTCCCACTTTTTGCACCTGGCATTATGTCCCCAGAAGCCACCGTACCCGACGAAGCTGCAGTTGCTGCTGCTGCCGCTGCTGCTCTGGTTGCCAGCAACTTCAAGACCGATTCAGCAAACTGTGAGTTTAAAGGCCACTGCGCGGCGTGGAAGGATCGAAGTAATGACCGGACACACTGTGCGCTGCTCCTGGATGAGCGGAGAACCCTTGCTGCTGCATCAGGGAGCTGCTGCTGCAGGTGCTGCTGTTGCTCCTGCAGTGCGCACCGCCGCACAAGTTCCTCCTGTGCTTGCTTTTCGGAACGAGCTGGGGGTGCAACAAGCAAGGGCAGTCGTTCGGCTCCCAAAGACGACGTCGGCAGTGCCTGTTGATTCCATAGCACCCGGACGCATCGCAGAAGTTTTGCAGCAGCTTGCTGCTGCAGTTGTTGAAGTTGTGGCAGCTGGGGGCGCGAGGGAAGTTGTTCTTCCGTGAGGATGCTGCACCTGCCCTGCCTGAAAGCGTCAAGCCTGGCAGCTGCCAGTGCAAGCCGAGCCAGCGAAGCCAGGGAGGCAATATGCGTATGTTCCGTCGCGGGTGTTGCTTCACATGCTGCTGTTGTTGTTGTTGCTGCTGGTGCCGGCGCTTCTGCTGCTGCTGCTGCTAGGGCTCCCTCACGAACAGATGCCCCCAGTAGGCGGCGATGCAAACTCTGCAACAGCCACAAGTACACAGGAAAACCTATAGCTGCACAGCGGTAGTGACTAGGATTCCCCGGTTTGTGTACTTGTGCGAAAAGGAATTTGCATACCTCTAGTATTCGCCTGCAGCTCTCGTAGAGGTGCTGCACCTGCTGTGGTGACGATAGAAGATGGACTGGCCACGCGTTGGCTGCTTCAATGCAGCGCAACAGCAGCAACTCCTCTGCTCTGCGCGGCAAAACTTGGTGCTCGGCTCTACGGACCCCTTCAGCTGCCAGGCCCAACTGCAGCAGCCACATATACCAGCAGAAAGTGTTTGCTGGTGCAACTTACAGTAACAGCGCTACAGTTTTCGCTCCTTACAGCAACACAGGCACCCTTGCCAGTGCCGTAACCGAAGCAGCAGTAGCAGCAGTCAACTGGGGGGGCGGAGGGGGAGCTTTCCGCCTCACTAGTAGCTTCCAGCACCCGTTGTGGGCAGCATCGTGGTTCAGCGGAATATGTCGTCCCTGCTGGTGCTGCTGCGCCGCCCAAAGCAGCAGCTGGCCTCGCAGTCCCTCTGCAGCTGCCAGTAGCTGATCCCCCGAGACGTACCTGCGGCAGCACAAGGAGAGTAGTCCGGCTTGGCTGTTTCTTCTCCTGTCTATGCGGCTGTTTGCGCTGCCGATGCTGCTGCTGCGGCTGCTGCTGCTTCTGCTTCTTCTGCTGCCTCCAGAGGACTCACTTGAGGGTCGGAAGCACCTCGTGAGAAATGAGTTCGAAGGCGCGGGATGCTTCATGCAGTGCAGCTGCAGCTTCTGCGCGATGCGCCCTGGGCGCAGCTGCTGCTGGCTCGCGCGCATATGCTTTACGTGACCTTCCTGCAGCTGCAGTGAGATCCTCTCCTGTTGTTGGTGGTGGTGCTTCTGCGTCCGTTTCTGCTGCTGCTCCCAGGGCAGCGCGCGGCAAGTGCAGCAACAAGCCATACAGGGTCTCTGCCGGAGCAGGTGCTGCCACTGTTGCTGCTGCTGCCGCTGTTGCAGTCGATGGTGTTGCTGCAGCGCTTATAGCTGCTCTGTGCCGCTGAAGCAGAAGACTCCGCGGCAATGCTTTACAGATACTTGAGACAGCATTCAACTTCTGCTTCGCAGCTGATGATGGACATGCGCTTGGTGCACAGGCGCTAGCAGCAATGGCAGCCAGCAGCAACTCCTGCTGCTGCAGAGACAGTTCTTCACCTCCTTCCGTTGCAACAGTCTCCAGGACAGACCTGCGGAAAAACCCGAAAGGAACCCCAAAGCTCCGTACAATCCTTCTTTCTCTCTGAACCAAAGTGTCTTTTGTCTTCTGTCCTTCTTAACACAGCCCTTCATATACAACACCTATCGCTAACCCGCCGATGCTGAGCCTCTAAGGATGTGCTGTGCTGTCTGCATCGGCGAGTAGATAGGGGCAGATACGTACACCAGAGATAAGCGCCAAGCTGCATCATCATCTGCTGCTGCTGCCGTTTGCAGCAGCGCGAGACGTTGCTGTATCTGCAGCAGCGGGAGAAACTGCATCAGTCCCACCAGCAACTGCCTCCACGCTGACAGCCAGACAAGTGGCTGGATATCCTCTGAACCACCATTTGCTGCACAATTCGCACATTGTGCTGCTGATAACTCCTCGGATGCATATGCATTCACAGGTGTCTTCCTCTCCGGCGGCTGCTGCTGCTGCTGGCGAGCTGCTGCATGCGTTGGGGCGATCCATTTGAGGACTGACAACAGCTGCTGGGCATTAAGACGTACTAGCGGCTTTTGCCTCTGCTGCTGAATATATGGGGCGAACTCCCGAGCAAACGGATCTCCTTCAACAGCCAAGGCCTTTGAAAGAGATGGGCACAGCCAGCTGAAGCCGCAGTAACAACAGCGCACCGAACATGAACAACAAAACGCAAGTGCTAAGAGGAGCACGCGCTGGTGCTGCTGCCTCAGTTGTTCGAGGGAAACCTGAGTTGCTGCTTTATAGCTGGCACAGCTGGAACAGCGTCAGCTACTGTGGTTCAATCCACCAGCTTAGGTGTTGATGCAGCAGAAGGTGCAAAAACAGCAACTATTAGGGCAGTGGCATGATATACGGCAAACATACAGCAGCACGTAACGCTCCATCTGACTGTTCCTCAGCCCCGCAGCAGCAAGACCTTCACTGCAAACATACCCGAACACAGCAGCACCAGCATAGGCCACTCTACGCATACATGAAGGTGATACCTGCAGATGACTTTACCGCAAGGCCCACTGAAGCAGAAGCAGCAGCAACTGGCCAGCAGCAGCAGCACAATCAGCAGATGTAGCAGATGCAGCAACCTGCAGCACTGACCAAACAAGTCCGATTTCCTGTCCCCCAGCCCGCCCTTCTAGCAGGGCTAGCGGTAAGGCAGCAGCAGTTTGTTTTACCAGCAGCACCGCTTCACGCTGGAGCTGCCTATATACTTGAACTCCTGCCTCTGCTGCGCTGCAGCCCCGGGAGGCAGCGACGCTGCATACGGTGGCCGCAGCAAAAGAAGAGACACACAGCTGTGGCGGCAGCTGCCGCAGCAGCGCGTTTGCATCCTGGGGCGGACCCACTGTAGCAGCAAGAGCAGCGGGAGTAGCAACAAAATCAGCAGGAGCAGCAGCAGCTGCTGCCTCCATTACTTCTACCCCTCCAGCATGAAGGCGCACAGCGCTGCTGCGCGAGCAATCAGCAGCTGGCAGTTCGCTGCTCTGCACTGCCCCAGTGGCTATCTCCGATGCTGCTGCTGCAGCTCCTGCTGCAGCTGCTGCAGCAGCATCGTAGGCACCCGCAGCCGAGCCAGAAGATTGATCAACAACAGCTGCATTTGCAGCAGCAGGTGTGAGAATGTGCATGCGCGAAAGGCAACCGATAATGCCCGCCAGCGAGCGTACTGCTGCAGCATCGGCGTCTGTACACCTGGCGCGACGCAGCAGCAGCACCAGCAAAGCTGGATCGGTCTCTGAAGCAGCACAGCAGGAAAAAGAGTGAGGCACAGCGTTCGCCCTAGCGTCATGGAAGGCGTAATGAGAAGAGCCAACAACTGAGTTCCCTCAGCAGCAATCTCAGCAGCAGCTGCAGCAGGACCACATAATAGGAGCAACAGCATACCTCGAAACCGCTCGCAGCAGCGAAGCAGTCTGTACACCTCTGAAAGGCCGATATCTTCGTGAGCTCCTAAATGCTGCAGCAGCACTCTCCACCCCAAGTGCAGCACCGCGTTCTGCCTCTCGCGCTGCTGCTGCTGCAGCTCCAATTGCTGCTTCTGCTGCCGGCGCAAGACAGCCTTCTGCCCCTCACGGTGTTGCTGCGGCTGTAGCTGCCGCTGTGGGGGTAGGGCCAGCAGCAGCTCCTGCAGCATTGGCGTCCCCGTTCGGAGTCTCAGCCCACACTGCCTCGTATCTGGCTGCTGCAAATGCGGCTGAATGACTCTGCTGCTGCTATTGCTGCTGCTGCTGCTTCTGCTGCCAGTTTGCTGCAGTTCCCGTTGGCTGTCCTTTCTGTTTTGCTGGATCTGCAGCATCCTTCTGCGAGGAGAGGGAGGCAAGAGGCGCGACACGAGGGCAAGCACGTCTCTATGTTGGTGTTGCTGCTGCTGCTGCTCCTTCAACAGTATTGGGAGTGTTGGGGCCTGGTGCCGCTGCTGCTGCTGCAGCTGCTGCTGCTGCAGCAACGGTTGTAGGTTGTTCACCAGCAGCGGCAGCGGGAGGCGCCGAGGCCGTGCGGGAAGCAGCAGGCAGCACTTTAGGAAGTTCTTCACTGCAGCAGCAGCAGCAAACATAGCAACGATGAAAGCAGTATCAGCGTCAACGGCTTCAGCTCCCTACAGCAGCACTTGCAGCAGCTGCATACTGCCCGTGTGCTACAGCAGACGGACAGCAAATACAACTCGAAAGCCTTGTTCTTTACCTTTAGTTTCAAGAGGGAGATTGTCTACGAACGCAGCATCCTCTCCAGCACACACACGGCGTGGCTTTCTCTGCTGTAGTTGCTGCTGCTGCCGCTGCTGTTGCTGCTGCTGTTGCTGCTTCTTTTGCTGCTGCTGTTGCTGTTGCACTTCGTCTTGCGGCTGTTGCTGTGCCTGCGAAGACAAAAGCATCTTGTGCTGCGGTGGAAGCAGCATTTTGAAGAGGTGCAGCTGCTGATGAGTACATTGCAGCCGCTGCTGCCGGTGCAGCTGCTGGTACGAACATAATAGCATCATCTCCTTGTCTACGTTGCAGCCGCCGTTGCCCGTTACTGCAGCAGCAGACTTCAGCTGCTGCAGCAAATCCTGCCGCGTCCGCTGCTCCTGATGCTGCTGATGCCGCCCCCCAACAGACAGGCAGCTGCGGAAGAGTCCGTTGAACGGAGAGCATCAGGGGATACCTCGATGTTCGGCTGCTGTTGCTCTTGAAGCAGCAGCAGTGAGGGCTTCGGCAGCTGCAGCTGCTGTCACTGCTGCAGTAAACGCCTCTGATGCGGCCTTGGCCGCAGCAGATGCTGCCGCAAATGCCTCAGCTGCCTGTTGTTGCAGCTGCACCTGCAGACTATGCTGCTCGTTCCTCGCAAGGCTGACGTGCTGCTGCTGCTGCTGTCGTAGAGACTGTAGGTGCGACTGCTGCTGCAGCTGCTGCAGCTGTTGCAACTGATCTGTACACGAACTCCCTCGTGGATACGCGCTGTGCGGGTGCTGCAGCAGAAGCTGCTTCTCATGCAGTTTTTGCGTTAGCAGCAGATGCTCCAGCACTTGCTTTTTCTGCAGCACTTGCTGCTGCTGCTGTTGAAGCAGTTGCTGGCGTTGTGTTGGTTGCTCCAGCGTCTGCTCCAGTTGCAGCTCTTCGTGAGGAAGGGCTAACTGATTCTGCAGCGGCAATTGCTGCTGCTGCAAACCTGGGCTCGGGCAGAACATGCTGCTGCTGCAGCGGCTGCTGCACGCCTCTTGTGCTGGTGCTGCCCCTCAACTCATCCAATAAATGTATTGCCCGCTAACTTCCATTCCAAAGCACTGCTCCTGTGCATTCTCCGACAGCCGCAACGTTACCTCGAAGCCTTCTCTTGCAGCTGCTACCGCTGCAGCTGCTGCCGTTGCAGCTGCGGCTGCTGGAGCGGCTGCGGCGGTGGAGCTGGGCCCGATATTTCTGATGTGTACTGCGCATACAGTCGACCCATGCAGGACCTGACACAGAAGGGGGCCGTCAGGGAGCACGTAGCGGCGGTAGCCTTTTTCCCGTTGTTGGAGCACCAGCTGTTGCCGGAGCTGCTACTGGTGCAGAGGGGGCCTCCCACGTGAAGTAGTTGTTCGTAGAACACCGTCCCGCTAAAGAAAAAACGAGAAAATATTACAAAAGGTCCAGACAGAGGGCCACCTACCGTAGAATACTCGGACCCCAAAGTGAAGGGGCCCCTCGATCTGTTGATGGACAGCCGCTGTTGCTGCTGCTGTTGCTGCTGTTGCTGCCGCTGTTGCTGCTGGATTGCATGTCACTTTGGATTCGTCGCAGTTTGCATGCAGAGAATGCAGTTTCATTGTTTGGCAGTGTCTTATTGGATTTGGTGATGATTTCCGTCAGGGATAACTCAGACAGAGGCACAGGGGACGGGTCGATGGTGAGGGCGGTCTCCAAAGCAACTGCAGCAGCCCTTAATGAACTGAAAAGAGGAGGGTTGACAAGGCAGACAGAGAAACATAAGAATGAAATTTGCTGAAGATATAATAGATGCTTGTTGTCGAGGGTTTAGGGTTAGGGTTTGTGGGCTGTCTGAATCGGCCTGTGGGATGGCTTACCCTCTAAGTTGATAAATGAATCTTTACTTGGCCTCAGGAGGCAGTCTGCATGCAGGCGGAACTTTAACAGGTATGTACAGAGTTCGTGCAGACGTCAGAGGAGGGTTTGTTGCGCCTGCCTGAAAATGCTTGTTGTAGCATTTCGTGCAACAAGGTGCGTTGCAACTCACTCAGGCCGCTTCCTCAAGATTGCATGTTTTAGAAGCTTGAGAAAGCTATCTGATATAACGTGAGGCTTGCCATTCAAAGCCATCACATTTTAGCTACTCTCCTGGCTTCAGCAGGAGCAAGTTGGTGGTGCTCAGTGACAAACTGCATTCTAGCGGTTAAAGCGTTGTGTGTTCAGCCTGAGAGCACCTACACAGTACAGTTCACTGTTGCTGCGCTCCTATAAACAGCAAGGTTGAACAGTGGCAAAAGCTGCAACCGTCCCACCATGTATTCCATGCTAAATAAGGTCGCATGCACTGATATGTCGTATTCGTTCTAAAAACCATTTAGAGCCATCTCCGTGCAGTTTCTGAACTGAGACAATTGGACGCTACCGCTGCTTTCAGGTGTAAAAAAAGGCGTAGTGGTCTATAGTAGGAATTGTAAGGCACTATTCATTTCAGCTACTCCTTCCCTGAACAGCAGCAAAGATGCCATTGTGCTACTATGGTGAAAGGGAGGAACCCTCAGATGTAGACTTTCCTCATGAAAAAACGAACCTTTTCGTACAGATGCAATACTCCGTGGATGTTCTGCAAACGCTAGTAAGAAACTGAAACAAACCGAATATAGGGATGATGGTCATGCACGTGATCCGTACAGGAACCAAAGCCATGACTGCCTCTACTTAGTTGCAAGCAACTGTGCAACATGGCGTTCATCTTCATCTTGTAAGGCTCGTTTTGAAATATGCTGCATTCGACGAGAATCCTGAACTATCGCGTTTAATTATTATGAGCCAATTCAGTTAGTTGTGGAACCTTTCGTCAGATTAATGCTGCATCACATCTTCACAACACTGCTTACAGCGGGTCTGGGTAGACACAGGGCTGGAATGGCTGTTTAGAGCCAATGAAATACACCTCCTCAGAATATACGGTGTTTCATTTAGATATACATCTTGCGTTTGCTTCTTCTGAATCTTCTGAAAACCCCTCTAGTTATTGCATTCTCCCCGCATTGAATTTTCCCACTCGTCTTCTCTCCCTCTGCTTGCAGACAGGCGTAGGTAGACAGAGGGTCCCGTTGCTGAGGCGAAACATATGTTTATTTGCTGTCTATGATCTGGTTAGGATTTCAAGCGTCGCTGTTTGATTAATGCTTATTGTTCGATTGTTGTCGCCTCCCTCCGCCGGAAGCTCGAGGTATATTGACACCGTCTCAAGATGAAACTTCACAGGAAGATATTTCGCTGTTATTTTAATTGCATTGGGTGTTGGAATCTTTCTGGTTTACTCTCAAACTCTGCCTGTCCGCAGGTACTTGAATCGTTCGACTGGATTGTCCCGGGCAAACGCCACAGTTCGGGTTCCAGCGAAGAAGCCGCGATCTGTTTTCGTCCTGGGCACTAATGGTTCACTTGAAAGGCAGATTTGTCGACAATGGCTTTGTTTTTATCATTTTTAGGAGAAATGGAGAAAAAAAGCGGGGGAGGCAAGGAGAGGTTTCTTCGCTCCTTCCAAGGGGTTGCCGCCGCTTTCCCTGTCGCTCTGACGGTTAACACACCTGAAAATACCGTCCTTCTTCGTCTGCATCACGTTGAAAAACATGCATTTGACTGCTTATTGCCCTAAAATACCCCTTTCCAAGCAGAAGAAAAGAAGAGAGAAACAGTCTGCTTCGGTCTCCGTATGGTCTGCTGTAGCACGGGCAACGACGACGTCCCGCGAGTGGAAGCGGGCCGGGAGCTTAGTACTTTGCTTTTTTTTGTCTTTTTTTCGCTAATTTTCCCTTGTAAAGCCACTTAGTTTAATGGAGAATCGGCATCATCACCCCAATACAAAGGAGCACTACCGCCCTCCTTTCTGTGGGGTCTTCCCACGGTAGGGGCAGACGCCTGTGCAGTTCCTGCTGCAACGGCTTAAGCGTTAATATTCCTTTTAAAACGCATGCATCTTCGTATTTAAAAGCGGAGAAAGACACAGAAACGCATCTGAAAGGACAAACGCCAGCAGGAAACCCAGCCTGGCGGCTGCTCGAGGCGTGGAGGTTCGTTCTAGAGAGTCTCTTGCCTTTGAGTTCACCTCTCCGTTTCCAGGCAGAAGAAAGACAGACAGACACATAGAAAGCCAAAAATGAATAAAGAGGAAGCCGCTAGGCCTGGCCCTGCTGCCGGCGCAACAACAGGCAGGCCTGCTCATGCTGCGGCAGCGCCTTCATCTACAGCGGCAGCAGATGGAGCTGGAGCAACGGCGGCAGCAGCAGCTGCTGCATCAGTAGCAGGTGGGCGACCTTCCGTGTCAGGCACAGCACGTGCAGCAGCAGTTGCGCCTGCTGCCGTCCGTGCAACAGCAGCAGCATTCGCACGGCCTCCGGCAGGAGCACCAGGAGCATCACTAGGAGGAGCAGGGGGAACGATTGGCTCGCTGAACCACCAGCAGCAGCATCATCATCATCAGCAGCAGCAGCGTACCTCGCGTCGCTGCAGCACAGCGGGAGGCGGTGCTGCAGCGGTTAGCGTAGGGGATCTGCCGATTCATAAGCACCGGGATAAGATACTAAATCACATAAATAACAACTTCATCACATGCATTCAGGGGGAGACGGGGTGCGGCAAAAGCACGCAGGTTCCAAAGTTTCTTCTGGATCAAGATGCAGAAATACAGAAGGCTCTGCAGGCAAAACGCGCAGGGAAAGAGCTACCTCCTTCCTCTAGCAGCGTGCCGCTGCCTCCACTTGAGAGCTACAGACCTCTCAAGTGTATCGTCACGCAGCCCCGAAGGCTTGCATGCATTTCGTTGGCTCAGCGGGTTGCCCGGGAGTTGGGGGAAGACACTGGTGGGCTCGTGGGGTACCGTATTTCAGGCGAGAGTAAGACCAGCCGTCGCACTAAGATATTCTTTATGACTACTGGTTACCTGCTGCAGATACTTATCAATGCACAACCGGCGCTCTCCCACATCCTGACAGAAGAAGAACTCAACTTAGAAGCTGCAGGCAAACTCGCGCTGCTGGAACGACGCGGCGCCGCAGCAGCAGACCGCCACCAGAAGTTGGAGCAGCAGCAGCAGCAGCAGGGTACTGAGCAGCCAGAGGGGGGCGGCTTGTCCTGGGGAGACGGTGGCTCTAGTGAGGGGTATTTAGATAGCGTCACGCATGTGATATTAGATGAGGTGCACGAGAGAGATGTGGATGCAGATCTGCTCTCCCTGGTGTTGAAGCTGCAACTCAGGAGCCGAGTAGGCAAGCTGAAGGTGATAGTAATGAGCGCAACCATGGAAGGCAATTTGTTCTTCAATTATTTCTCCGATATACACCTCAAACACGTTGGAGAGGCGGAAACGGAAAAAGAGGCCCTAGATGCTGCTGCAAGCACTTCCAAGCAGAAAGACCGTCTCAGGGCCAAGGACAAACAACCTGCACTGGCTGCTACTGCTACTGCTACTGCTGCGGAGCGGAAGCAACAACAACAGCAGCAGGAGCAGACAACGGACGAGTGCCGATATGAGGACAAGATCTTTGTAGGGGCTAAACGTTTTCCTGTGCACACGTTATATATCGACGACTTGCTGGAAGTAAACCCCACGCCGAAGGCACTCAGGCCCGTTAGTGTGGATCAGCTTTCAGGAGAGGCGCTTCTGATTGAAGGCCGAGATGAAACAAAGGCAGGCGTGCAAGAGCAGGAAGACCAGCAGCAGCAGCAACAAAAGAAGGAAGCAGACGCTGAACCCGGGAAGCCCGCACCAGCGTTCAGCAGCAGCACAGCCAAAGATGATGCATCGGCGGAACAGGTGGAGCAGCAGCAGCAGCAGCAAGAGGGAGACCCCGACATCTTTGGTGCTCTGTTGTCTCGCAAAGGGCGTTCGCTGTCTAATCTCTTCACGAATCCCTCCAGATGGGCTCTTTTAGAGGTACCCAAACGTTGACTGTACAGGAGGATCAGCGCTGACGTGCTGATTCTCCTGTACCCACGGCCAGCACCTGCATATATATGTGCTTGCGTTTGTATATGCGTATCTATGTATGTACTTGCGCTACAGCCCACGCGAAATACACACACACACACACAAACACACACACACACGCGTTTATGCGTATATATATATATATATATAATATGCATATATACATGGCCGTGCTACGGAAATGCAACTGCCTGCATGGACCACTGCTTGTTGAGTTTGTGCTATGCATGCGTCGTTTTCGTCTGCCTTCTGTTGGGCTGTAATTATAATAAGGAACGATATCATTATCGTTGGGGCTGCAACTCGGCGATAAGCAGGGTGAAAGCTCTTTGTTCTTGCTAAGCGAGGCAACTCCTTCCATTTAGGAGTTTTTAGGTGGCATTTCTCTCCGTCCATTTTCTCTCTTGTCTCTCAGGCGTTGCGCAACTTCAAATCGGGGACCCGGAATTCCGAGGGGGGCTTACAGCCGGACATACAGCGCGGTAAGTTCTCACAGCAACTAGCCAGCGAGTCCTCCAGCTAGCTAGCTAGACAGCTAGCTAGCTGGAGCTAGCTGTCTAGCTGTCTAGCTAGCTAGCTAGCTAGCTAGACGGCAAAGTAACGAGGTGTCCAGCCAGCGGTTTGTCCGCCTCCGCATGACCCATATATTTGCATGCTTGTGTCTCGTGGGTGTACGTGCCGTGCGTCTCATGGTCTGTGTGCTTGCCTCTGCTACATAGTAATTAGTTGCTGTTGTTGTGTCCGTTAATCTGCCTGTCTTTATATGTATTCATTTATATTGTTGGTTTGCGCTGCTGCATGCGCTTCAGGCCTTGAGCTGGTGTGCGTGGATTTGGTGTCTACGCTCGCTTACGGAGGCGAGACGGTCTTGGTGTTCTTGCCTGGGATAGCGGAGATATCGACTTTGTTTGAAACACTTGCTCCTTTAGAGCGTGAGGCGTGCGCGTCTGCTCCAGGAGCAGAAGGTTCTGCAGCAGCTGCTGGTGCCGGTGGTGGTGGCGGTGGTGCTGGTGCTGCAGCTGAGGCGACAGTAGCAGCGGGCAGCAGCAGCAGCAGCAGCAGCAGCAGCGGGGGTGGCCTTGAAGGCCCGCGTCCTTCTGCTCCTCGGTGCAAGTTGTTTGTGCTGCATTCGACTATCGGGAGAGAAGAACAGGCGGAGGTGTTCAGCCCCCCCCCTCCTTCTGTTTGTCATGTTGTCCTTGCGAGCAACATCGCTGAGAGCTCTCTAACGCTTCCTAACTGCCGCGTCGTGATTGACTTCTGCTTGCGCAGGCAGATGATCTATGACCCCGTAAAACACCCTAAATCCCAAACCCTAAATCCCAAACCCCAAACCCTCAACCCCAAAACAAACAAACAAACACCCTGAAATGCCTCCCGCCGATACAAAGACGCAGTCAGGTCTGTGTGCAAGGGAAGCTCTTCTGCAGCGCTGTGGTTTTGCGGTCTTGGTAATTGCATTGCATCGTTGCCTCAGTGGAGACCTCTCGCATGCATGCATGCATGCATGCATGTATGCATGCACGCGTGCGTGCATGCGGGTGCATGCTTCCTTTCGACCCTTTTAAACGAATGGCTGATGGTTGGTGCCCGAGGTGCCCGAGGATATTTGCATTTGTCGTTGCTGCTCCTGTCTCTCCGGAGATGCCTCGGCGTCTCTGCATACCTTGCGTGCTCCTCCGCTTATTGCTGCGCTGCTGCCTGTGTTGCCCGCTGCTGCTGCTGCTGCTGCTGCTTGCAGAAGCGGCACGCGTCGGCGCTGGTCAAGTCCTGGACATCGCATGCGTCTTCGCAGCAGCGCAGCGGAAGAACAGGTGAGGAGTGATGCTTCCATTTGTCTCCTTTCTGTTGAATGTGTCTACTTTTCCCTCTCTCTTTTGGTCGGATGCTACTTTCCCTTTACCTCTCTTGCTTACGGCGTCTGCTGCATGCGCGTTTCATTTGGGGCTGGCGCTTGCCTCAGGCCATCTTTCAGGGTCTTGTGTCCTTTGCGCCTGCGGCGTGTTTGTGTCTAGGTGTGACTCTCTCTCGGTCTCGCTGTCTTGTAGTTTGTTTATTTCTCTCTTAGTTTGTTTCTCTATCTTCATCAGTGTGATGCCTATTTGTCTCTCTGATTCGATGTTGAGGCGGCACGCCTATCTCTCCTTTTTGTTCTCTGTCTCGCTGCCAGTTGTTCGTTTCTTGGTCTCCTTCCTTGTTGCATCTGTATGGATGTATTGCTTCTCGTTCTCTGCAGAGGGGCATATGCTGCTGTTCTGTTTGCACATGGTATGCGTCTGCTTCTGCTGCAGCGCCTTGCGTTGCCTTTCATCTGCTGGTGCTGCTGGTGTTGCTGTGCTGCGGGTATCTGTCTCCGCTGCAGGCCGTGTCTTCCCAGGTGTCTGCGTGCGGTTGGTCTCCATGCGCTTCTATGAGAAGTCTCTCCGCGTCTTCGATCTCCCAGAGATGCAGACAGCTCCTCTAGACAAGTTGTATATCACCGTCGCGCACTTAACAAAACGCCTCAACGCCATCGCTCGTGCAGCGCATGCAACCCCTACTGCAGACGGAGGCACCTCAGGGCGCTCTGGGAAGGCCCAGACAATTCAAGGTGTACATACACCTCAAACACAACAATATTGCTGACGTAACGACCGCCTCCAGCGGGAACGCACTCCTTGCTTCGTGCGTCTGCTGCTGATGCAGCTGCTGCAAACAAAGGCTTGAGCTCCTGCTGCGTCTAGTGCGTCTGTTCAGATTGCATGCGTGCCGGCTCCTTGACCCCAGCGCAGCTCCTCTTGCTCACTGTACAGCCGCCTCCCGTAACGGCGCTCGCTGCTGCCCAGGCAAGCACCCACAGGTCTCCTCGTTGTTGCTGCTTTTGCTGCTGCTGCGCTTGCTTCTGCCGATCCTGCTGCTGCTGCCCCGGCCTCTGCTGCTGCCCTGGCTTCCGCTGCTGCTGCTGCTGCTTCTGCAGCAGGTGGTTGGGCGGTGCCCCTACGTGGCGTCTATTGTGGGTTTATGCCGAGGGTTTGTGGTTTGGTTCTGCTGCTGCGTTTCAGGCGGGCCTTAGGGAGCAGGGGGCTCTTGATGCGAACGGCGAGATAACGCGTTTAGGGTATCTGATGATGCAGCTGCCCATAGATGTGCGCCTCTGCAAGTGCGTCCATGGCGTCTTCGCTTTAACTTACAGTTCTATTCACAAAAATGTATATGCTTGTAAATAAAGTATTGGTATATCCTTTCAAATAAAAGATTTTCAGATCCATTTATTTGCAGATATTTTGAAGTTCACCTATAGACTCATCACTGGCGCTGCCCAAGTGTCAGTGCCCCTCCCGCTTGCCGTATAATTGAATAATAATAATAATAATAAATAATAAAAATAATAAAAAAAATAATAATGATAATGATAATGAAAATAATAATAATAATAATAATAGTAAATAATAATTGATAAATAATAAATAATAATAGTAATAATAATAAATAATAGTAATAATAATAGATAGTGATAATGATGATAATGACAATCACAATGATAGTGGTAGTGAGACAAATGGTAGCAGTATTGGTATTAATAGTACTGATAAAATAATAATTAGAGTAGGCGGCAGGCAGTTTGGTTTGCTGCTGGGTATTGTACATGTTTGTTTCTTTGCTATGCACTGCAGATTGGTGTTCCTGGGTGTTGCATTTGGCTGCACGCTGGACGCCGTGGTGCTAGCTAGCTGTTTAGCTAGCACGGACCTGTTTGCCTTCCCAGCCTTGATGCTGCTGCAGCGACACTCCAAGGCATCTGCAGGCTTTGAGGCCGCGCTGCAGCTGCAGCAGCAGCTAAAGTCCAGGGCCTTATTCGACGGCGGGCACTTCTCTGAGCCCCTCATGCTACGGTAAGCGAGGTGTATACACACCCGAAACAGACTCAACAGGCTGGCTATCTTAGGCTGTCGTTGCTTGTGAGCATCATAGATGAGGGCATGGCAACTGTCGGTACACCTGAATGCTGCTGCTGCTGCACTCTGTTGCGGCTCTGCTGCCTTTCTGGTTTGAGAGCCGCTTGCCGGACTCTATCTTTTATATATATATTTTGCCTGCATTTGCTGCTGCGTTGGCGCCTGATTGGTGTTGGTACCGTTCGGGCTTTCGATGTGCTGCCGTTGGGCAATTTTGGTTTTGTTAATGCGCTTCGTTCGAGCCTGAGGTGCCGCCGTTGCTGCTGCTGCTGCTGCTTGTTGTTGTTGTTGTTTATGGCTTTTTTCTGCTGCTCCCCTGTTGTTGTGTTCCGTTGTGTCTGGTTTCCTTCAAGGGTTTTGCTTGGTTAGGTTCGATGCCGTTCATCTCTAGATGCTGTCTTTTATCTGTCCTCGTCTTTCTTCTTGTGTTTGTCTTCTTTAGCTTTCTGCATGTATTCTGCTGCCTCTTCGTTGCTTCTCATGTATATTGTATCTTCATGGTGCATGCATGGGATGTGTGGGGACCCATCTTTCTCAGCAATTGCTTCGTGGAGTTCCTGCTGCACTTTGCTGCATCAACAGCAGAGCTGCGCGCCCGTCTCGCTCGGCAGGCAGCAGGGAACCGATCCCGCCGTCTGGAGTTGAATATGAAGGTGAGGCCTAAGCAGCTGCAGCAGGAAAGGCAGTCGCACGGTGCGGACTAATGCTTTGTGGTGGTGGTGCTGCTACTGCTGGTGCTGTTGCTGTTGCTGTTGCAGCAGCAAGTGCTGCTGCTGCTGTTGCTGCTGTTGCAGAAGCAGCAGACAGGCAAACTCAATGCATGGGCGTTTGTTGACGTAGCTCTTTTGTTTTGTAGGTGTAGCATTTGTTTGTACATATGTATGTATATGTATATAAATCTTTTTTTCCTTCTGTTTTGTTTCAGCTGGAGTACAGTCGAGCTGCTCGGGATTTCAGTCGTATGCACGCAGTCGTTCCGAAGCGTCTCGTGCAAACAACTCTCCTCTGTTGTGATTTGTGTCAGCGTGTGCGGAGACTTGTAGATCCATGTGGGTTGATGCTGCTGCTGTTGCTGCTCCTGCTGCGGTGGCCCCTTCGGCTGCGGGGCGCGGCTCCCGCTGCTGCTGATTCTGCTGCTGCTGCTGCTGCTGCAGTGACACCAGGCACCACCCCGGTGGCTCGGCAGCAGCAGCAGCAGCAGGAGAAATGCAGCACCACGATATACATGGCAGCACGGTAGAGGAACATGACGCAGGAGCAGTTGCTTCGTGCACCTCCTGCTAAATCCCTTAACCCTAAACCCTCAGCCCTAAGCGCTAATCAGCAATCGTGCGAGTGCATACGACACCGTTTGCTGCTGCTGCTGTTGCTGCTACTGCTGCTGCTTCTGCTTGCAGCGTCCGTGGCATACAAGCACCTCGGGTTTATGCTGCAGCTGTTGCAAGACGGGAGCGTCTTCTCGCGTCAGCAGCAGCAAGTTGGAGGGAAGCTGGGGAGTACGCAACAGCAACAGCAGCAACCGCAGCAGCAACAGCAACAGCAGGCGTTGCCGGAGCAGCATCGTGGCGTTGCTGTTGATGGGGCTGAGTTTGACGCGGCAACAGCGTACGATCCAGCAGCAGCAGCAGCAGCGGTTGAGAAGCATTTTGTGTCGGATTCGATTGTCCTGAAGACTCTTCTTGCTGCTTCTTTTTCTCCTTCATTTATGGTGGGGAAGGTGAAGAATTGCATCGACGGCGAAGACGCTGAAAAACCTGTTATGGACGAAGCCGAATCAGAGGAGAAATCGCTCGCCTTGTACAGCTGTGAGGCAGAGGCAGAGCTTCATCGCTGCTGCTGCTGCTGTGGTTGCTCAGACTGTTGCTGCTGTTACAACAGCCACAGCAACGGCAGCAGCTGTTGCTGCTGCAGTCGCTGGTGCTCTGCTGTTGCTGTTGCTGCTCTCCTGGCTCATACTGGTGTTGCTGTTGCTGTTGTTGCTGCTGCTTCAGGGCTAACGGATCGGGGTGTGGAGCTGAGTCGTTGTTTGTTTTTTAATCGTATGTACTCGGAGGAGAAGTTAGTCCTTTTGCAGGAGGCTTTATCTGTGGTGCTGCCTGGGGTTGATTTTTTGCTGTTAACGGGAGATGCATACAGCGACTGCGCCAGCGTCTACGCATCTTCTGCTGCAGCAGCAGAAGATGCTGCAGTGCAGCATTTGATTAGCGGCAGGACACCTGATGAGCTCCATCACAGCCTAATCCTCTATTTGCCTCCGACACCTCGCAATGAGTGTTTCCAGTACGACGCAGAGGCAGCAGCAGCAGCATCAGCAGCCTACAGGGAGCAGCTGCGCTGCCCTCCAACTGCTGCTGCACTTTTAGCACAGCAGCAGGAGCGCGAGCAGCAGGTGAAGCGGCTATATGACCGCTGGTTGGAACACGGGGAGGAGAGCGAAGGAGAATCTGCAACAGAGTGGGAGGAGGACGAGACGAAACGTGAGAAGCAGAAGCAGAAGAAGAAGAAGAAGAAGAAAGAGTTTGAGGACATAACGCTGGGGGCCCTGAAGATCTGTGCCTCTGCGGCTGCTGTTGCTGCTGCTGCTTGCGGCAGCGGCTTAAAGAGCGTCAATGAACGCATCGCGCAGTATGAAACCATACGAGGCAAACACTTCCAGCCCTGCAAACTCTTCGCTTCTCACCCCGTATGTGCGCAGCTCATTAATCAATTTGCATGCGGCCGGTGGAAGTTCTCCCTATCCGTCCCGAAGACAACCCCCGGAGATGCAGCGCAGAAGCGGCAGCAGCAGCAGCAACAGCAACAGCAGCAGCAGCAGCACGAGGAGGAAGAGGAGGAAACCAACCCCGGACAAGAAGACGAAGAAGACAAGCAGTGAGCTCATGAAATGCATTTCTGCCTCTTTAGGGAGGGTCGCGGATAGACGTACAAACACCATTGGCTGTTCTTGGCGTTTTAGCTCCTTAGCCCCCCTGCAGCTCAGCCTTTGCGTGCTGCTGCTGCTGCTGTTGCAGAGTTGTTGTTGGCTTTGCGTTTGTATTTGCTGCAGAGAAGAAACAGCAGGAGCAGCAGCAGCAGGACTGCCTCAGCAGCAGGCGATGTACGCAATGGAGATGTTTCGCCCTGTGTCTCCTTTTGCTGTAACTTGGTACTTCGTCAGCCCCCAGGATGCAGCGCCCACAGCCAGCAGCAGCAGCAGCAGCAGCAAATCCTTCAAGGCTTCTAAGGTACAGGGCATCTTAAGCTATCGCTCGCCTATGGGCGTTCTCAGCGTTTGTCCCGAGCCCACGGGGACTGCAAAGGCAGGCAAGAAGGTATTTCAACAGGTGAGAGGCAACCCGCACAACAAACCACTGAAACACCGAGCCATAAACGCTCAGCTTACAGGGAAAAGACAGTGGGCGTGAGGAGACAGCGTCTGTGGAGTTGGGTTGTTTTTGCCGCTGTCTGTGGGGCGCATCTGTTGCTGCTGAGGGCTGATGCTAAAGCCCTCCTCCCTCTGCTATTTATTTGCTGCCCTTGTTTTCGTGCCTCTATCAGGCTTCTGTTGTTGCTGCATGCAGATAATTTGGCTTTGCGCTCCTCGCTGTAAATTTGCTGTTTGTGTGCTGCTCTGCTGCTGCTGCATGGATTTGTTGTGTCAGTGAAGAAGACAGAAGGCTGTAGAGTGATTTTGTTTGAGGGCTGCAGGGGCACTGGGGTTAGGGGGTGTGTTTGTCCGTTGCGTTTGTTTCGTTTTTCTTTGCTGTCTCTGGATTGCTTTTGTCCCTTAACGACTGTCGTTTATCTGTCTACTTGATTTGTTCGCGCTGTTGTTGTTCTTTGTTTGTTTGCATTTCGTTCCACTTTACTGTCTCCCTCTCTTTGGGTTTGCGTATCGTGGTGTCTCTGTGTCCTGGGGCGGAGAGGGCTTGCTGCAGCAGCTACAGCACCAGCAGATGCTGCTGCTTTAGCTGCTGCACTTTAGCAACAGCTCCAGGAGGAGGAGCAGCAGCTGTTAGCAATAGGAGCAACAGCAGCAGCATCAAGACGAGATGAAAGTGTTTGTTGCTGCATTACGTTTTGCTGTAGGCCGGCGAGGTATACGCGGTAGCTGCTGCGCAGCAGAACAAAGACAGCGTCTCGCAGGCTTGGGCTGAGGGGGTGACGGTGCTGCCGCAGCGGGAAGCTTTGCTGCTGATGCTTGCCTTTCTCCCAGGGAGTTCCCCCGTTGAACTGACTGTGGAGGCTTCAGCCGACGCTCCAGTCGCCGTCACAAAGTACTGCAGCAAAGCAACAGCAACAGGCAGCAAAAGCAGCAGCAAAAGTAGCGTTAGGAGCAGTACTAACAGTAGCAGTAGGAGTAGCAAAAGCAGCAACAAAAGCGGGAGCAGTAGTGGCAGCAATACCACTAGCAGCAGCAGCAGTAGCAGCAGCAACAAAGCGTCTGGAGTGCTGAGAGTGTGCAGTGCATGCGGGGCCTTCGTTTTTTCATGCATGCAAACAAGGAGTTCCCGGCTTATCTGAAGGCTTGAAACAGGTGTTGTGTAGCTTTAGGGTTTAGGGTTTACGGTGGACGACTTAGGGCTTGGGATTTACGTGTGTTTGTTGCTGCTGCAGCATTGAAATGTTTGAAGGCGTCAGTTTGCTGCAGCGTGGAGACTCTGCGTACATAACGCTGGGGGATTTGCTGCGAGTGAATGTGCTGCGGCATTGGCTGTCGCGAGTCTTGCAAGGGGACGCAGGAGCAGCAGCAGCAGCAGCAGCGCTGCAACCCACATCTGCTGCAGCAGCAGCAAGGAGCGGGAGACAACAAGTGCAGCAAGAGGCGCTTCTAGTTGAAGAAGGACTAGAAGAGCTGCAGGCTGCTCTTGCCGATGTCCTCGCCCATTGTAACGAACCCCTGTCCCCCTGGCAGGTCAACAATCTTCTAACTAAAGCAGGTGCGGGTATACACCAGCAAGCCCTAAACCATAAACTCTAATGCCTAAACCAGAAGTCGCTAGCCCGAAACCTTAAACACTAGACGCTAAATCGCTCTCCCTAAACCCTGAACCCCGAGTCGCCAACATAAACCCTACACCCTACACCTAAATGCTGAACTGCCTACCGGAAGTAAAGGACGTCGGAGCGCAAGGGTTTGGCTTGCCTCCCATTGCCAGTTTCTCCCGGCGTTGCATCCCTAAACCATAAACCCCAAACCCTAATTTGTTGCTGTTGTTGGGTTGGCTTGTTGCAGGATCCCCTGCGGACCCCCGAGTGCAGGTATTGTTTGAGCGGGGGTTGCCGCTGCGGCGGGAGTCTTCAGGAGGAAGAAGAGGAGGGGGAAAGGCAAATAATGTACAGGGAGGATTACGATTTACTCTCTCAGCATTTGCTGCTAATGCTGCCGATACAGCAGCTTGTCTCCCGCCCTTCAATGTCACAGCCATTGCCCAGCACTACAACTCACTGCTACAGGTTCGCACGCTGCTGCTGCTGCGAGGACTGCTGCTGTTGCTGATGCAGGGACTGCTGCTGCTGTTGATATGGGGACTGCTGCTGCTGCTGCTGCTGCGGGGGGCTGCTCCTGCTGTTAATATGCTGCTCTTGCGAGTGCTGCTACCGCTAGTTCTGCTGGTGCTGCCACTCGCATCTGCCGATGCGGTCTACAGCGTCCCTGGCATTCACAAGCGGCGTCTGCTGATAGCTGTAGCTGCTCGCTACGGGCAGATACAGAACACTTTGCATGCATGCATATCATCTTTACCTACCTTATCTGTATCCATATATCTTAATCTATATATCTATTCATCAATGTTTATCTCTCATCTATAGATGTGCGCCTATATTTATATTTATGTATGTAAATGTATATATGTGTATGCATATCTACATAACTCTGTATATATATATATATATGCATATCTTTGCCGATATATCTATATCTGTATATCTTCATCTGGCTGCAGGAGATGCATAGGCGAGCAGGAGAGGCAAAAAGGAAGCAGCAACAGCAGCAGCAGCAGCAGCAGCACGCGTCGCACTCCTCTTGGCGCAGCGGCGTCCAGTCGGGCAAACACAAGGGCCGCAGCAGCAACAACGTGAGCGGCAGCAAGCAGCATGGAGGGGCCAGCGGAAGGGCTTACCAGCAGCAAAAGCACCAGCAGCATTCAAAACAACAGCATCAGCAGCAGCAGCATAGAGGACAGGGCCGCAGAAAGGGAAAGGGAGGCCATGGGTCTTCGCATGCGGCGGCTGACGGCGGTCACCAGCAACAGCAGCAGCACCGCCAGCAGCAGCAGCAACAACACCACCACCACCAGCAACAGCCTTACGGTGTTCAGGGGGACCAGCAGCAGCAGCACCACCAGCAGCAGCATCGCTTTTCCCCCGGCTTTGCTCAGTCTGCTGATATGAGGCGCAGCGGTGCTGCTGCTGGCAGCAGAGGAGGCATGAAGGCGCAACAGGCAGCACCCCCTGCCTTCAAGCAGCAGCAAGGAGGGCACTCAGCACCCCCCCAACAAGGTACGTACGCACATTCGATAGTAAAAACGATATCAGCAGCAACAGCAACCGCAGCAACAGCAGCCGCAGCAACAGCAGCAGGGGCAGTTGCAGCATCCGTAGCAGCAGCACCAGGCGCAGCAGTAGCAGCAGCAGGAGTAGCAGCACCAGGAGTAGCGGCAGTGGCAGTAGCAGCATCTGTAGCAGCAGCACCAGGCGCAGCAGTAGCAACAGCAGGAGCAACAGCAGTAAGATCAGCGGGGTGAGCAGCAAGAGCAACATCAGCAGTCTTTGGCTTTCTGCTTTGCATTTGCCGCAGCAGCTGCTTACGGCAGCAACGATCCTCCTGGCGGCCAGGGGTTGCCTCCTCATCATAGAGCTTAGTGAGTGCTTTTTCATATAAAGCACATCATTACTGTTCAGCAGCAGCAGCTGAAGTAGCAGCAGAAACAGCAGCAGCAGGGTAGCAATGCTAGCAATCTGCTGCATGAGCCTGTTTGGGGTTACCCTGCAGAGGGTCATGGATCGGTCGCATCTAGTGGTGCTGCCGCTGCAGCTGACTGCAGCGGCGCTGCTGCTTTTGCTGCTGCTGCTCCTCTTGTTTTTGCCGTTGCCTCTGCTGTTGCTGTTGCTGCTGCTGCTTTCGTCGTTGCTGCTGCCCCTGATTTTGCTGCAGCAGCATTGGAACCAGCAGAGGAAGTGCGTAGCTCAAGAGATCGTCAGGGTTGGGGCAGACGAGCTGCACCTGTTGCTGCTGTTGCTGTTGTTTTTGCTGCTGCAGCCGGATAAACCCTTTTCAGTCGCACGCTCCCGAGGGGCATCAGCATATGGGCCTTCCCGTTTACGCTCGTCACCAGCAGCATCATGATGCGCAGCATCGGTATGCTGTAGGAGGTGCTGCAGCGCCTGCTGCGGCTGCTGCTTCTGCTGCTGCTCCGAGTCTGCTGCAGCAGCATCCGCAACAGGCCTACCTCTCGCACTACCGGCAGCCGCAGCAGGTGCAGCAGCACTATGCACCTAACCCCTACGGAATGCAGCAGCCGTTTCTCGATGCGGCTCGCCTCCCCAGGCAGCAGCAGATGCCTCTAGGGGCAGCCACGCTGCAGCAGCTCCAGCAGCTGCAGCAATTGCAGCAGCTGCACATAAGCGCGGGCGCACAGGCGCAGCAAGCTCATGTACAGACAGCGGCCTACAGGGCTGCGCCTCCTGCTGCAGCGCTGCTGCAGCCGCAGCAACAGCAGCATTTGGGATTGCCTTCGCTGCATGGCGACGCGAGGGCGCACCCAAATGCGTTCGGGCAGTACGGGGGTCGATGATTTTCTGTGTTTCTTTTGTTTTGTTTTGTCTGTTTTTGTTTGTTTATTTCTTTTTGCTGTTTCCTCTTGCTGCTCTTATTCACACGGCCCTATATATATCATATGCCGCCAGGCAGCAGAGGCGCCTATGGCGCACTTGAGGCTCAGGAGTAATGCTTTCTACAGCGCACGCCTTCGCTGTGACAGCTGCTGTTGCAGCAGCAGAAGCAGCAGCAGCAGTTGTAGCTGCTGCTGCAGCCGCGGCAGCAGCAGTTGCACCAGCAGCAGCAGTTGGCTCCTCCTCCTCGATACAGTTTTAAGCTGCAGCAACTGCGCCTGCAATGCATGCAGCACGGGAATGAATAAAACCCGGCAGCGGCTGCTGCTGTTGCAAGGATGCGTCTGCCGGGCCTGCTTGTGCGGCTGGCCGTGCTGCTGCAGCTGCTGCTGGTGGCTGGTCTGCTTGGTAAAAGAGAACGCGAAGACGAGGAAGGCAGGGATAGATACAGCCAAGTGCGGCAGTGACGGACGCCGTCAGCGGGGGGAATCAGTAGCAGCAGCAGCTGCGTCCAGCAGCAAACCGCATAGCAGGAGCAGCAGCAACGGGTTGCAGTACCAATCCCAACAGCAGCAATCTAGACAATCTCTGCATGAACAGCGGCAGCATAGTGCCACTGCTGCGCAAATATGGGTTGTGATAGTGTTTGTTGGAGCAGGTGTCTGCTGGTGCTGCGCGCCTGTTGCTGCTGCTGCAGTTGGTCTGGCGCATGCAACGTTGTAGCTGCGTTAAGGAGCTGCAGCATGGCATGAGGCCGGTCTCTTCGTTGAGAGGGGGAGACATAATGCATAAACGCATATGCATTCAGGCATGCATGCGTGCACTCGTGCATGTATGCAGCCCGGGTGTATGCATACGTTGTGGTGTATACGCGTTGCATGCATGCATCCCCGGTGTATGCATGTATAGGCGTTGCACGCATGCAGCTCTGGTGTATGCATGCATAGGCGCTGCATGCATGCAGCCCCGGTGTGTGCATGCTTGCACGCTGCATGCATCATGCATGCTGCACTTAGACGCACGCTGCATGCATGCATGCGGCGTTAGTGCACGCGCGTTTCAGACAGCAGCAGCAGAAGAGTCTCTTTTGCTGTCTTTCTCCTGCCTTCTGCTGCAGTTGCTTCTGTTGCCCTCAGCAGCAACTCACTGCATGCATGCATTTTATGCATGCATGCATTTTATGCATGCGTTGCATGCACGAACTCCTTGGAATAGACACACTCTGCGCATGCATCGGTGCGGTGTTTGCGCGGATGTATGCATTAAATTAGATTTTTGTTTTTAAAACAAAGAAAAATACAGCGACCCATAAACGAAATATCTCCGAATTGCAGCAACAACTGGAGCAGCAGCAGTAGCAGCTGGCTGCTGCTGCTGCTCCCTTGGACGCTGCAGTTATAGCTTCTTCCACAGCAACCCGATTAGCTAGTTGGACTCAGGCATTCTGGTCTCGCTAGTTTCTTCTGTTGAGCTGCAGCTGGCAAGCTGCTAGCTGCTAGGTAGCTAGCTAGCTAGGTAGCTAGCTAGCTGCTGTAGAGAAGCAGTACTTATTCCTCTTGAGGGCAGCAGATTGCGGCATTACTTTGGGGTTGTTCCTGTGTGTGTATGTGTCTTTGACTGTTGCTGCTGCTGCTGCTGCTGGTGCTCTTGCTGCTGCTGCTGCTGTTTCTGCTGCATTTCCCGCTGCTGCTGTTTGAGTTGCATTTCTTGCACGACCTGCTGATCTGCTTCTTTCCATGCCTTTGCCATTTGTAGCGCCTGGTTGCAGTCATCGCGGCAGAATAAAAAGAAGCCTTGCAGCTCCGCCATTGCTGCAGCAACACGGCAGCAGCAACAGCCAGAAGCAGCACCAAACCATTGCGTCAGCAAGTGCACCAATGAAAGGGAAGGCAGGGTCTAGAGCTAGGTTGCTTGTCTTCATGCTGTTGTTTCATACACTCTCAACTAAACTCCAAGACAGCCGCGCAGCAGCAGAAGCAGCAGTAGCAACAACAGCTGAGGCAGCAACGGCAAGAACCGTTGCTGCCTCCGTTCGCTCTCCTCCGCTGCTGCTGCTGTCGCAGCAGCAGTAGCGGAGGAGAGCGAACACCGACACAACGCCCACCTAACCATCTATGATATATCCTTATATTGCTCTCACACCTAACCATCGATGATATATCCTTATATCGCTCTCACACCTAACCATCTATGATATATCCTTATATCGCTCTCTATGCCGAAATATCTCTTAGAATCTATCCCTGCGCGCTTTGTTCTATATCTACATATCAATATATATATATATATATAGCATTTGTATGATTTCGTGTATATCCGCAGCAACAACGAGCAGCAGCAGCAACCAATCGCACGAGGCCAGAGAGGCAGCAGGAACTTACTAATTTGTAGAGGGGACAAAAGAGAGACAAATTCATCTGCTTGTTCTGCTGTTGCATTCGGTAGAAACCGAACGAACTGCACACCAACAAACAAAGACAAAAAAAGCAGACAAGATAAGATGGCTTTAAACTGCAACACACATGAAAGGAGATGCATATACACTGCCATACAGACACACACGCAAATACACTGCAAAACAGAAAAAAAGAATAGAAGACAGAAAAAGAGACAGAGAAAAGAGGCAGAGAGACAGAGAGACGGAAGACAAAGTGAGAGAAGAAGAAAGACAGAGACACACAAAAGGAAATGCAGATACACCTCAAAGCTGAGGTGAGACAGAGAGACAGAGGAGATGCAGAGACAGAAGAGAGAGAAGAACAGAGGGACAGAGGGAGCCACAGCGACAAACGAAGAGAGGAGAGAAGAATACAGAGACAACGACACCCTACAACGGAAGCAATAAAAGAAAAAAAAACAAACAAAGACAGAAAAAGAATATAGAAAGACATACCTGTCTCCTCAGCTGCTCTGGAGTTGCAAAGCCAATGCGCACCTTCAAATCTACGCGCCCAGGGCGAATCAGCGAATCAGGCAATCTGCGCGCACGCACACAACCCCTGCTGCTGCTGTTGCTGCTGCTGGACCTGCTACAGCTGCTGCTAGACCTGCCGCAGCTGCTGCAGGTGCTAGACCTGCCGCAGCTGCTGCAGCTGCTAGACCTGCCGCAGCTGCTGCAGCTGGCACTAGAATGCATCTGCTGCCTCTCTGTTCTAGTTAAAGAAGACAGAGACACGAGAGACAGAGACTAATGAAAAAAAGAGACAGAGAGCAGAAACAATAATCTCTGTTAGAGCCAATAGAAACAGCAAACACGCATCAAAAAAAGAAAAGAAAAATAAAAAAGATGGAATACAAATGAAGATATGGATGCACAAACAAACAGACAAGCGATTGACAGAGAGACGCTAAAGAAGACAGAGACAGGGATAGAAAGAGGGAAAGACAAAGAAAGACAGAGACAGAGGCAGACAGCCACACGACCACAAAAGAGACGATAATAAATAACAAAGCACGACCAAACAAAACAAAAAGATATAAATGCAATGCACAGAATGCAAACCCCGGAGACAAAAAGGAGAAGACGGAAGGAGACAGATAGGAGATGACAGCAAACAAGAACAAATAAGGGACCGCTACAAGCGTAATAAAGAGCAAACAGAGACACAGACACGCTGCATCCTATACGTAACACAATAAGAAAATAAACTATTTGTATTAATATGTATTTATATGTTTGTATTTATATATTTATATCGAATAAGCTGCAGACCTCTCAGGGTGATTTGTCGTTAGAAATATAATCCGTTCTTCTGTGGCTACAACCTGACAAACAAAAGACATACAAACATGCACAGCTCTGCCGCAGCAGCAGCAGCAATTGGTGCAGCAGCCGCAGCAGGAGATGCAGCAGCAGGAACGTCACAGGGAGGCAGCAACATCAGCCAAACACCAGCCGAAAGGCAGCTTTACCAACACAGGAAGAGTAGCAGCAGCAGGAGCAGTACCATCAAGTGCAGCATCAACAGCAGCAGCATTTGCAGCAGCAGCAGCAGCAGTCTGCGTACACCATCTAGTGCATTCAGGAGACCACTGAAGGTGACACTTCGTGTGCCAAAGGGATTAAGAGACAGTTGCGTTAGAGAGGGTCTGTCTCCTGCTTGTACTGTCTCCTTCTCCTGTGCTGCTTCTGAACGGCGGATGGCCCCGTCGATGTCTTCTAGCAGCAGCAAAGAACGGGGCGGTACAGTCCTGCATACAGCAGCAGCAGCAAGAGAACTGCAGCAGAAACTATTTCTGCTTCCTGGCGGATGTTGCTTTCACTTTCAAACAAACGATTTCCAACAGCTTCTTTTTGTTTCTGTCTATATCCAGACTCCCCTCAAGGCCCACATCCCCAGTGCCAGTGCCGATGGGAGAGCCGCTACAGCAGCAGCAGGAGCAGGAGCAAGAGCGTATCAGCAGCAGCAGCAGCAGCAGGAGCAAGAGCGTAGGCACAGCAGGAGCAGCAGCAGCAGCGCATCAGCAGCAGCAGCAGCAGCAGGAGCTGGTGCACGCTTACGCGAGGAGGTACTGGAGTCTGTCATCTGTGAGGTGAGGATCAGCAACATTAAGAACGCAAATATTATATTTTAATCTCCCCGCCAAGGCTAAGACGAAGCTGCTCTTTCCGCAGCCAGGAGGGCCGTGAAGTAAATACCCTCGACGATATGGAATGCCTCTATCAAAGTACCAGCGAGAAGAAGAAAGAAAACGCATCAAATCAGCTAGTATGCTCTCAGCAACCCCTTCTGCAGCAGCAGCAAACACCAGCATAAAGAGCACTGGTAGCTGCCATGCACGTTGAGACACAAGAAGCTGCAGCAGCAGAAGCAGAAGCAAATGCAGCAGATACTCCAGCAGCAATTGCGCTGCATTTGCTGCTGGAGTACTGCAGCAGCTGCAGTAGCAGCGCCAGAAGAAAACAAGCTGCACCAGCAGCTACGCAAGACAGAAGAAGAAACAGCAGCTACAACTGCAGCAGCAGCAGCAGAAACACAAACAGCAGCAGCAGTAGCGGCAATAATAACAGCAACAACAGCTCGCAGCAGCGTATCACAAATGAATGGGGAGGCAACAGCCACAAAGGAGAACGAAGAGGAGGAATCAGAAAAGTAAAGCGAAATAAACGACAGACATAAAAATGCATGCAGCAGCAGAGATAGATAGAGAAAAGAAACAGAAAATAACAGAGATGGAGGAAAAAAACAGAAAATAACAGAGATAGAGAAAAGAAACAGCAAATAACAGAGATAGGGAAAAGAAACAGAGACAAAGAGACAGAGACAAAGACAGAGAGAAAGAGAGACACACAGAGGGACAGATAAAGAGAGAAGCAGAGGAAAACAAAGACAGGAAAATAAACAAAACTTGCCTGCCAAGACAACGGATTCAAAAGGCCGCAGCTTCTTCGGCTCTCCGTACTTCCTCCACTCCTGACCCGTGCTGCACCAAGTCGGCAGCAGCAACAGCAGCAGCAGCAGAAAAACAGCAACAGCATGGCTATCCCGGCTTTGATTCACAGCACAGCTTACTCCAGGGCAACAGAAGAGACAGATGCAGCAGCGAGTGCTGCAGCAGCAGCAGCAGCAGGAGAAGCAACAGAGCAGCAACGGCAACCAGAGCAGCAAGTGCAACAGCGACAGCAGCGGTCCAGACCTTCTGTAGATGACGGTTTTTCCTTCTTCTCTCTGGAGTGCCGCATCCCTCGCTTCGTTGAGCTGCAATCGCATGCAGTTTGTCATTGTAATATGTATGCATTGAGGTGTACAGACACCACTACACAGAGGGAAGAGAAGAAGAGCGGCAGCAGTCTTCAGGCTTCATACAAACGCACGTCTTCGATTCGCTGCCGATGAGGAACGTTATCTCCCCAGCTAGCTAGCCAGCTAGCCATCCAGATAGCCAGCCAGCTATCCAGCTAGCCAGCTAGCCAGCTAGCTACCCGGCTAGCCAGGGTAGCTACATATCTAGCCAGCTAGCAATGCAGCTAGCCAGCTACCCCAGCTATCCAGCTAGGTGACTAGCTAGCTGCCTAGCTAGCTGTCTAGCTAGCTGTCTACCTAGCTGTCTACCTAGCTGTCTAGCTAGCTGGGTAGGTGCAGGGTACTCACGAGGTCCTGCAGAGAGTGTCTGTAGAGAGAGAGAGTGGTGAGGGTGAGGGTTTCCCAAGGGGAGCCCGAGCTAAAGTCTACGACTTCCCCAGAACGCTGGCGGTCTATGAGCAGCAGCGCTCCCTTATACCGCAGCAAGTGCTGCCCTGAACACACACACAGTTGCCGCAGCAGCAACACAAATGCAATGCGGCAGCAACAGCCGCAACTCCTGCTGCTGCTGCTGTTGCTGTTGCTGCTGCTGTTTTTGCTGCTGCTGCTGTTGTTGTTGCTGCTATTGTTGTTTCTAAGGGGGAGCGGCACCTGGGCTGGGAACGAAGTTGAAAACCGCCTCCACGTTTCCTGCTGCGTCTTTCCCGTACGTCGTCTCCACCCCGAGGTGCAGCGAACACTTTCCCCTGAGATAACACCGCAGCATTCTGCTGCTGCTGCTGCTGCTGTTGCTGCTGCTGCTCGCCCAGCTTGCGTCTGTGTAAACCCGCAGCGCCCCCAAAGCCAGCAGCAGCAACGGCAACAACGAAAACAACAGAAGCAGCAGCAGCAACAACAACACCACCAAGCAGCAAGAACAGCAGCAGCAGCAGCACTTGGCACAGCTTGCATGCATACGTACTTCGCAACGAGCCACTGCATTACCCAGGGATATGCTGGGTCTCGAATGGGGACCTCCAAAGATGTCAGAAGCCGCCGCCTGCAGAGACCCCTTAAAGCGCGAGCGCCTGCACGGGTGAGGGAGGCAGCAGCTCCTGACGAAGAAAGCAGCAGAGAGAACAAACAACAGCACCACACAAACATACGTGGGAAGAAGGTAGCAATACACACAAGACACAACAGACAAAACAAGAAGCACAGTTGCAGCAGCACTAGAAGCTAGCAGCACTTGCAGCAGCAGCAGCAGCAACCGACCTACCTAACCCAGCCAGACCGAATCCAGCACAAAAGTATGGGTTTTCACTGAGGAAATCTGGTAGCATCCGTTTCAGAGAAGGCGGAAGGGAGGGGCCCCTGGAAGGCTCCCCTGTGGCCGCCTTGATGAGGGTACTGCTCGCCGCCTGCTGCTGCTCCATTTGCACGCAGGTGTGGGGGCCCACCCCCGGAGTTTGTGCGGCCGCTACGCAGACTCCAATAAAAGGGCCCCCAGGCAGGGATAGGAAGAAGACAAGAAGAAAAGAAGAGAAGACTGCAACGGTTCAGCTGCGCCTCCACGCGAGCAGCTGAGCAGCAACTTGAAGGATTTTTTCAGGTGTCTACGCCTTCGAGTTTAGCAGCAAAAGTTCGAATTTTAATAACAAAGCCAACTGCTCAGCTGCTTCCGTTCCCACAGGTCTCGCGGCCGACTGACTCGAGATGTGCGCGCAACTTCACTGTGGATACGAAGGCAGCCAATCTTCTAGAAATGGAGTTTAATAGATGAAATAAAGAAGCAAAACACGGGAAACAGAGCCGTTTCAAGCCTAGGAGGAGCAGAAACGCCTCGAAACCCTCGGGCGATTCACAGGGGGGCCCCAAGGGGCCCCCTTTGGAGGTCATGAGATCAGCACAGCTATTGGGAATAAATTGTGTTGCAGTAGTATAGCCAAACTATTTGATCTATAGATGATAAAAGAAGAGGGAAAAACAAATTGAGGCCAATTTCTGCGGGTTCTTGAGCGCACTAGCGGCACCCTAAACCCTCGAAAGCATTCTAAGAAACGCTGTAACTGGAGTTATTTTCGTTGCTTCTCCAGACGATTCGACGTCAATTTAGAACATCAGTGTATCTAGCGTAATTTGAATTGCTGAGGGGTTCTGCCCTCCTCAAGTGCCTAAAGGGCGCCATCCGTCCTCCTCTATATACAGTGAACTCAGTCGTTCTGCTGTAGCAGCAGCGATGATGAACGCAGACATTAGAAAACAACGCAAGCTGACCTCGTGAATAAACGGTAGCCAAAAGTCTAACGAGGTCTTTCTGGCCATTGAAATACCACGCCTCCCTTCTCACCGAACTCTCAGTAACTTAGGAGTTCAGGATGCGTAAGCCAGAGAGATTATTTTACTCTATAGCCCCACGAATGGTGCTTCTTCGCCTCGGCGATAACATGTATACAGCCTCTCCCCGTAAGTGTGGGAGGGCGCATTCATTTGCAGGTTCTCTGCTGCCAGTGGAGATACAAAATATAAGAACATCAAGGACAAACCAATCTTCCATTGTCTGGCCACCTAGCACGATGGCTAACTAATTCCTGCAGTAAGCCGCTAAAGTTGGTAGTGACAAAGCACGCAAGAGCCCGAAGGAGGGGAAAAGCAAACAAGTTGCACGATCTATCTATTCCTCCTTATAATAATATTATCTGACCACTCCAGCGACACAGAAAGCTCTCTCCGTGTCGAGAGAACACACAGCGCCTTTCGCCACACCCTCGGCGAGACGAAGTAAACATGCGCTATCAATAAATTTCTAGAAAAAAATCTACAGCTTATCCCTGCTCAATACACACTTTACTAGGGAAGAGTAATAATAACGACCTCAGCCCGTCTGCCCACTCGTCGACGCGGGCTGTGAAGCTTCACTGCCTGAAGCTGCAGTCGTAGGCAATCGTGATGCACTGGCGAAGTTGAATAAGTCGTTCAAGCTCTCCTTTTGATGAATCCGTCGAATCGCATCCGCCAACAATATGGAAATTGAGAGAATCTTTATCTTTTTACAACTCGTTACCATTGGCCGCGCCTGAAGAGTCCACAAAAACGCGAAACACATGTTCAAACAGTTCAAACACTTTTCAAATTGCGGGGCTGTCCGTAGACCCCAAGAAATCTGCGCACATTTCCAAGATGATATACCATCACTTCTTTCAGCAGAAACCCGCTTTCTTTCTCACCTTGATCGTGTCAGTGATGACGACCTCTTCCAGTGCACTTTTTTGAATCCTGTCTATCGCAGGCCCACTGAATAGCCCGTGTGTCGCAAATGCATAAACCCTTCTTGCACCTTTCTTCTTTAGCTCCCTTGCGGCCTCCACGAGTGTACCGGCTGTATCTATCATGTCGTCCACAATGATTGCGTCGCGCCCCTCAACCGAACCCACGAGATCCATGCTCTCCACTTCGTTCGCCTTGATGCGTCGCTTAATTAACATGGCGATCGAACAATCCTTATAGCCGCGGCGAACCATTCCTTCTTGAAATTTGCGCGCCCTGAAGGGGAAACCAAAAGAAGACGAAAGAATCGAAACCCACTAAGCAGATCCACAGATATTCAACATGGATGGAACGGATTCATGTCCACTTCATAGATGTGGCGATATAAATCCATGTGAGAGCACTTCAATGCGCCTCTAAAGCACTAGTCCGGCATAAACATGAACAGGTTCCGTGGAGTCTGGATTGAATTCGGGGTCGTACCTGTACACGCCTCCCGCATCTGGGGAAACCACGACGGGTTTGTCCAATTCCTTTGACTCAAAATAATCCAACCCGACGATCTGCGCCTCTACATTATCTACCGGTACGCGAGGACCGAAGAAACCTTGAATCTGTCCGCAATGCAGATCAACAGCCACGACTCTGTCGACGCCCATGGCCTCCATCATACGCGCAACATCCGCCTGAACACAAACAAAGGGAAACAAAAAAATCACTCTCTATAGAGCGTCACACGCCCAACACATTCACATGCCGTCGTGAGAAGAGCGAAGAAAAACAGAAGAGCCCCCTCGGATAAAAAAATATGTCGCTCCCGCCCTCCACGCATGCAAGGGTCAGCTGGCGGAACTACACTGCAGCAAATTCCGTGCATGCCCCACCGCTGAGATTGGGACGCGACTATTCATCTTTCTGTCTTGCCGAGCATATCCGAAGTACGGGATGACGGCAGTGATTTTCTTTGCAGAGGCGCGGCGACAAGTTGAAATCATCAGCAGCAGTTCCATGAGGTGGTCGTTGACTGGAGTGCTGGTGGGTTGTATAATGTATACATCTTTCCCTCGAAGAGAATCAAGGAATTGAATGTTCACCTCTCCATCAGCGAATCGGCCAACTGAAACCCTCCCTAAACGGGTAGAGAGCCTCTCGGCTACGGCAGACCCCAGATGCTCATTCGCCGTTCCTGTGAAAAGTAACGCGTCCCCCAGTTTCCTCGTGAACGGCTGACTCTCCCTGGATCTCCAGAGGGGGTTTTCATGGCTCTTATCGCAGTGGATGCCTTCGCATAAGACGGGGGACTCCGCGCGGGTATCGAAAACCGTTGTCAACAAAACCGAACCTGCGGCAGCACATGCTATTGCTGCAATTCGAGTAGGGAATCTGTTGAAGCTTAGGACAGAATGACCTACAGGGGAAGAGGAGAGGCGACACGCCCGGACCAGCCGGGCGAACCCAACCATCCTATCTAAGAAGGCCTCGTCTCTATAAGAGGGGGAGAACGGGAGGCCGCTAAATGAGGAAGAAAGGACACCTGTTCAGTGTATTTTGCAAGATACAGCAAACATACAGAAACCCTTCTCTGCACCCCCTTCCCAACTGAAAGGAGAGATGAATGCAACGCACAGGCCGGACTGAGGCAGAGAGGACACTGGCTCTGGCCTTCACGGCGGAGCCCCACAGCAATCGCTGAAGAGCGGCCGTCCGTACAGCGGGTTAACGGAGAAAGTAAAGAAAATGTTGCATCTTCTCCCTGCTATGCTTCATTCTTTAACGAATAAACCGAAAACTTGCACACAGACAAGCCTAACACTCTTCACACCCCATCCCTTCTAGAAGCGCCATAGAGGCTCGACGCGGCCACCCCACTACTATAGGACTACGCGGCTGCTGCTGCTGCTGCTTTTCTAGCTGCCTCAGGAGGTAATAATAGGTGTTCATCGGATATTTTTGTGCAGTTGGATTATTAATAGCTAATGAGCCCTTGAATTAGCCAGCTTAAAAGAGACAGGGGACCCCTACGTCAGAACACCGCCATGTATGCAGCCGCTTACTCTGGGGTTGGGGCCTTTCGCGTGAATACGAACACTCCAGCACTTAGGAAACGGTAGCATCAAAGGCGGATTCTCTCTCCACATCAACCTAAACAATCTGCAACTCAGAAGAAAGCTCAGGACAATCAACACCGTTGATGCAGCCATGGCTGTCATTGGAGGGTATTAGGCATTACTTGGCCCCCGCGGGGAGCGGCAAGAGGAGGAGAGGTGAAGGAGGCTTATTAATAATACTGCCTTCACTTCTCCTCCTCTGAACGTTGGTGGATGTTGCTTTATTCGTTCATTTAATAAATAGGCAAAAATTAGACATTCAAACGTACGCCATCGTTATATATGCCCAGGACGCCCCAGAAGTTGAATAAAAACGCAGAGCCGCAGCAGATGTTCTCAGTGGATGTTGCTGCTGTTTACGGGCATACAAAAAAAGATACTCCTCTAAACGCAAAAGGACTGAAAGCCTTTAGCTCGTTTGGTTTTGTCTGTCTTTGACGCTCATGAGGGCGCCCCACTTGTAATGTGGCTTCGGGTTATGTATATAACAGTGTATATATATTTGCATGTATATGTATTTCTAGCTTGACGTCAGGAGGAGGTTTGCTTGTTGTTTAGCAACTCGGCATTAGGAATTATTTAAAGATGTTCAGAGACGCCACACAACACAGCACAACCTGCAACAAACTGCACAGTGTGCTGCTCTTCTGTAGAAGCGGAGATAAAACCTGACGCTGTATTATTTTCTCTGTGTCTGTAGAAGCTGTATCTGAGGCTGCTGCTTCTATTTAATCCTCCTAGGGGCCCTCAATCCCTTCATTCATATTAATAATTGTTTTTTAGGGGGGCGCGCATTACTAACTTTCCCGCTGCCACTGACGCCCCTCCTCGCCACACACAAATAAGCACCTCTGAGGCAGCAGCAGCAGCTGCAACAAAACTACCAGCAGCAGTAGCAGCAGCAGCAGTAGTATTAGCAGCAAATGGGCAAGGTGCTAACAACCGGCGGATCATCACAGTAGCCAACACAAGAGGCAGCCCTAATAAGGAAGGAGACGATGTCTATTTCGTTATTGAGGTGTATTCGCACCATTCACTTGCACTGTACGCTGAGCGGAAAACAAAAGAAAAACGAAAACTTTTATTTTCCTGTGCTTGCCGCCACCAAATGCTGCCGCTGGCCTACAGTTCAGGTGTACAGACAGCTCCCGGGCACTGCATTAAGAAGATGCAAAGGGAGAAGGAGCTGAGAATGAATACAGATTAAACGAGAAGAATAAATGCAGCTGCTGCTGCTGAGGCTACTGCAGCTGCTGCTGCTGAGGCTACTGCAGCTGCTGCTGCTGTTGCTGCTGTTGCTGCTGCAGGTCGCCTCTAGAAGGCCTTCTGTGCCTAACAGCGACACCTGCTGCAGCCCTCAGCGGCTGCATCAGTTCGCCCCCTCGCGCTCCTGGCAGGTGCTCTCCGGAAGAAGCTGCTACTGCTGCGGCTGCGGCTGCTGCAGCACGAGATGTTGCTGCTGCTGCTGCTCCGCCTTAAGGCGGCCGTGTGTTAGCAGGGCCAGCAGCTGCAGCTGCGAAGCCCTCAACGTCAAACTCAACGCCGCACAACCCCTTTGCAGAGACGATAGCAGCTGTACCGAAGGAAGAAGAGCTTTATCTGCAGCAGACACAAAAACAGCAGCAAACCATGCAGCACCAGCATCAGCAAGGGCAACTCTAGCAGCACCGCCAGCAGCTGCCACGAAGCAGCAGGAAGGTGCTTCTCTCCTCTCTTGTCTCTGTCTGGGGTGTGCAGCTGCCCCCGTTTTAGTCTGCTGTCGCACCGCCGTGCAGCAGCAACAGCAGCACTAGCAGCAGCAGCAGGGGACAGCAGCACCAATAGAACAGCAGCACTAGCACTAGCAGCACAAGCAGCAGCAGCAGCAGCGCCACTGCCTGCTTACCGGCTAGCTTCTGCATAAGCTGCTTCCTCGTAGGCAGCTCTGCAAGAAGAAGCAAACTATTAGAGAGTATGAGGCGGTCAGGGCTGAGAGCAGCAGCATCTAGCAGCAGCGGGGGGCCCTTCGGTGGCGGCTTCCCCAATGCTGCTTCTGCTGCTGCTTCTGCTGCTGCTGTTGCCGCAGCAGCAGATGAGGGCGACTCCCCCTCCTCGCCGCCCTTCCCAGCAGCAGCAGCAGCAGCAGCAGGTCTTTGCATGATGAGAGGCAGCAGCTCAGCAGGCGGAGGCTTCTCTACCGGCAGCATTATATATTTGTCTCCTGGTTTCCTGCGCGTGTTATCTGCTGCTATCTCTTCAGCCCTTTCTTTGTTGGCTGCAGCAGCAGCAGCAGCTTGCTGCAGCAGCAAACGCAAAGCCTCCCCCAATCTGTCTTCTGCTGCAGCAGATGCATGCACGAAGGCATAAAGAGATTCTCCCTTCAGCTGTGGCAGCAGCAGCTCCGCTGATTCTGCAACAGATCGAGAAGCACCCGCAACTTGAATTGCTGTCTTGGCTTGTTCTTCTGCTGCTGCTGCTGCTGCAGCTGCTGCTGCGTAATCCTCAGGCTCTGGCATCTCCATCGTCTCTAAGTCAAGAGGTGGCGAATCAGCAGCAGATGCAGCAGCAGCATTATTCCCTGCTGCTGTTTTCTTCGAGGCGCTCTTGCTGCTGCTGCTGCTCTTGCTGCTCTTGCTGCTCTTGCCTCCAGAGGGCCTTGCTGCAGCAGGAGCGAAAGACTGCCCCTTCGCCTGTTCTTGCTGCTGCTGTTGCTGCTGCTGCTGTAGCTGCTGTTGATCTACACCTAGGGCCTCCAAGATGTCTTCGTCGCTAAGAGGGGGATCATCCCATCGGCCCCACAGGCGTGCATGCATCTCCTCTACGCCATGCTGCTGCTGCTGCTGCTGCTGCTGCTGCTGCTGCTCTTCTTGGAGCTGGCGAATGGCTGTGCGGAGGAGGGAGTTTTTAATTCTCTTTAGCAGCACAAATTTATGAAGACCATGCAGCAGCAGCATCCTGAAGATCTGCTGCTGCTGCTCCTGCGTGAGCCCCACCGAAACAGTTCTGCTGCCGGTGTTGCTGCTGCTGCTGCCGATGGTTTGTGTCTTCAGCTGCAGCAGCAGCAGCGACGTCTTCAGCAAATGCTTTATCTCCGCTAGCTTAAGGTCTTTCCCTTCTCTTGTTGTAGCCCTACCAAGCGTATTTTGCTGCTGCTGCTGCTGCGCCGCCTGTCTGGCCTCCAAACGCAGCTGCTGCAGCCGCTGCCGTTGCTGCTGCCGCTGCAGCTTTGCCTGCTCCCGCCGTTGCTGCAGCAGCAGATGGTGCTGCTTCAACTGCTTCTTCCGATTCAGTTGCTGCTGCAACCGCAACTTCGCTCGCAGAGCAACAAGTTCCTCTTTGGTGGCTTCAGAAGCAGCATTTTGCTGCTGCTGCTGCTGCTGTTGCTGTTGCTGCTGCTGCTGCCGCCGCTGCTGTTTCTGCTGCAGCAGTCGCTCTCGCTGCTTCGCTTGGTTCGCCTTGCGGCGCTGCAGTATTTCCTTTTCTTGCTGCTTCCGCTGCTGCTGTTTCTTCTGAGAAGAAACAGCAGCCAACCTGCTGCTGCTTTTGCTGCTCCAGTTGCTGTTGCTGCCAATGGGCAGACAGCTTGAAGAGACAATAAAAGATGTAAGGGAGTGCAAACCGCTGCGGCTGTTGCTGCTGCCGTTGCTGTGCTGCTGCTGTCCGGCGCTGATGAACATAAGCGATGGGTAGAAGAGACACGAGCTGCTGCTGCTGCTAATCCTGCTGTTGCTGCTGTTGCTGCTGCTGACTCGGCTGCTGCTGAGCATTGATCCCGCCTCAGCAGCAGCAGCAGAGCGCCTGATTGTCAGGCAAGATACGCCGAAGCAGGCTGCTGCTGCTGCTGCTGCAACTAGCAGCAACAGTAGCAGCACAGCGGAAGGCCGGCCTCTGCAGCAGCGGCTCCACATCCTCCCTCCAGAGACAGCAGCATCAACAGCAGCAGACAGCTGCTGTTGCTGCTGCTGCTGCTGCTACTAGGAGAGCTGCTGCTACTTATGCTGCTGCTCCCTGAATCTTCGCTGTTAGAGAGTCGGCGCCACCCCCCGAGGTTGGTTGCTGCTGCTGCAGCAGCGCCAGCAGCAGCAGCAGCTGCTGCTGCCGCTGCTTCTTTCGATTTTGAATTATTTTTAGAATTAAATCTACATTGTTTGTGGTTAATCTCTGCTCGAGTAGCAGCAGCTTCAGCTGCTGCTGCGGGGCTGCAGGCGACAGCAGCAGCAGCTGGACGCATGCGCTGCGGCAGCAGCAGCAGCAAAGAAGGAGCAGCAGCAAGGAGAACAGCAGCATTAGGAGAAAACGACTCTCAGAATACCCTCCCAGTAAGGTCGCATGCAAACGAATTGCTGCCGGCGCCGCTACAGATGCTGCTGCTGCTGCAGCAGCGGGAGAGCTAACAGCCTTCGCTGTGTCTCCTCTGCTGCAGCAGCAGGACCGAAGCAGCAACGGCACCCGCAAGCACAGCTGCAGCAGCAGCAGCAGCAGCAACACCGGTTCCACTTGCGTGTTGCTGTGTGGACGCAGCTGCAACAGTTGCAACAGCTGCTGCAGCAATAGCAGCAACAGCAATAACAGCAGTAGCAACAGCAGCAACAGCAGCAGCAGCAGCAGCCCCAACGGCGCTCTACGCATTAGCAGGGGGAAACGATAACACCAGTATTAATAGCAGCAACACAGCAGCAGCAGCAGACAAAGCCGCAACAGCGCCCACCCCAGCTCCATGAAGAGCAGCGCGAGCAGCAACAGTAGCAGCAGCAACGGCAGCAGCAGCAGCAGCACCAGACGATGATAGTCGAGAGGCTGCTTAATGTACACCACGGCGGGCTGCCGATCTCTTCGCTCGCCTTCCAGCCGCACCCTTTGTTTGTCTCTGCGCATCCAACAGCAAGCAGCAGCAGCAGCAGCAACAGCAACAGTAACCCTGGAGCCGCAGCAGGAGGGAAGCAGCGCCGCCTAGCTTCCTCAACAGCAGCAACAGCCTCCCAGCAGAAGCAGCAGACTGCAGCAGCAGCAGCTAGGCAAGGAGCAGGTGGGCACTCCATTTTGACTACATCAGCATACCTGTTGCTGCTGCTGCTGCTCCTTTTCCTGCTGCTGCATTTGCAGCATTTGCTTCCCTTGCTGTTGCTGTTTGCTATGCACGCATGCATGCGTCTGGCTGCTTCGTCAATATGCTGCTGTTTCTGCTGTGACTGCGACTGCTGCTGTTGCTGCTACTGCTGCTGCTTCTGCTGCGACTGCTACTGCTGCTGTTGCTGCTGCTGCTGCCGCTGCAGGGCGGCGCTACTGGCAGTATGAACGGCTGGCGACAGCAGCAGCTGCTTCCGTGAAGATTTGGGTGCTGCATGCGCACCTACCGCACGAAGTTACAGCAGCAGCAAGGAATGCTAAGCGACAAGGTCTGCTGCTGCTGTTGCTGCCGCTGCTACTGCAGCTGCTGCTGTTGCTGCTGCTGCTGCTGGAGCTGCTGTTGCTTGGCTTTTTCGTTGCCGCTCGCTGCAGCTCTCCCTTCTTCACTTGTGCTGCGTCGTTTCTGCAGCAAGTCGTGCAGCAGCAGCAGCTGCTGCTGCTGCTTCACCTGCGAAGAAGGTAAAGACGGATGTGCAGCAGCAGCAGCAGCAACAGCAACAGAACGATGGAGAGGAAGGAGCTGCATCAGCAGCAGATAGCAGCAGCAGCAACGCCACCAGCAGCAAAGGCGTTGCGTCGTCACAAGGCGACAGCAGCACTGCTGATCCTGGAGCAGCAGCAGCAAGAGCGACAGCAGGAGCAACAGCAGCAACAGCAGCAGGCGGAGGAGGAGCAGGAGCAGCTGCAGCGGCGCTGAAGGCAGCAACAGCAGCACGAGCAGCAGCAGCAGCAGCAGCAGTCGAGGGTCTAGGCAGCATTGAAGGAAGCCCTTTGACTCCTCTCCCCTTAACTCGCGCTACCTGCGTGTGGGGCGCAGCAAACCATAAGGCGAACGTAACTGCAATCAAATGGACGTGGGATGGTCAGCTTCCTGCTGCTGCTGTTGCTGCTCTGCTGCTGCTGCTGCTCTGTTGTTGTTGTTGCTGCTGTTGTTGTTGTTGTTGCTTTTGTTGTTGCTGCTGCAGCTGCTGGTGTTGCTGCTGCTGTTGCTGTTGCTGCTGCTACTTTGGAGGTTGCTGCTGCTGCTGATGGCACGGGCACTGCTGCTGCGGCTGATGCCGCTTCGGGTGTTGTTGTTGCTGCTGCTGCTGCAGGAGAACTGCTGGCTACTTGTGACAGCAGCGGGGAGATTCATGTATACAGCCTCGGCACGAGCAGCAACAGCAGCTGCAAAACCAAAGCAGCAGCAACACGAAAGCTGCGCCTGGCTTCTCCTGCACCAGGGGCGTCACAGCAGCAACAGCAGCAACAGCAGCAGCAGCAGCACGGGGGTGCTGCAGTAAAGCCGCAAGATACACCAGATACACCTAAGGCTGCAGCAAATCTTCCCACTGCTGCTGCTGCTGCTGCATCCCAGTCATCGCCGCAGCAAGGCAAATCAAAGGGGAGCAAGGCAGCAGCAAAAGCAGCAGCAGCAGACGGCGTGATGCCGCCTGCAGCAGCAGCAGCACCAAAAGCAGCACCCAAGAAGCCAGGTGTACAGACAGCTGCCACTTCGGGCTGCTGCCTCTGCCCCTATTTGCGTCTCTCGCATCTTCCTCCCCCGGAAAGAGGTTCATTAAGCCAGCAGCAGCAGCAGCAGCAGGAGCAGCAGCAGCAGCAGGACCAGGAGGACTTTGCCGCAGCTGTCGGCGCTACAGTGTATGCAGAGAGGTGGAAACTTATAAAGACACTCAAGACCCCACAGTCGTCTCTCCCTCAGGTCTGCTGCTGCTGCTGTCTGTGCTGCTGCCGCAGTCTCTGATGCTGCTGCTGCCTCTGCTGCTGCTGCAGTCTCTCCTGCACTTGCTGTTTCTGCTGCTGCTGCCGCTGCTGCTGTTGCTGTCTTTGCTGCTGCTCCTTTCACTACTGCTGCTGCTGTTGCTGCTGCTGCTAATGCCTTTGGTGCGGCTGCTGCCTTTGCTGCTGCTGCGACGGCTGCTGCGGAACTCATCGAAGAAACGCAGATTTGAAATGTGCTGCGCAGCAGCAGCAGCAACAGCAGCAGCAGCAGCGGCAGCAATTGTGCTTTCTGTTTGCGGCTTGCAGGTGTTTGATTTTGTGTGGAGCTCCGATAAGAGATTTATTGTTGCAGCCGGAGCTAGAGGGAGGTGTGTTGCTGCTGCTGCTGCTGCTGCTGCTCC